TGACAGTTTAACTCACTTCCTTACATGTGAGCCACTGGCATTAACACAACTCACGTGTCAACAGATGGGCTCTGTATATTGTCACAGTTTAAACTTCAATATTTTTAAACATTTAGACACACAAAATATAGTTTTGATCAAAGAAAACATTTTCTTCCAAAATCTAAGCATGATTGGTTTATAAAAAATTACTACTTAAAGTGTTTGGTATATGAAGCAGTCCACAACTATGTGATAAATGAGTGGACATTTGGGGTCAGGAAATAAAATAAAAGACCCAAGATGGCAAACTCAGGGTATGTTCTTTTTTTTTTTTTTTTTAATTTTTTTTTCAACGTTTTATTTATTTTTGGGACAGAGACAGAGCATGAACGGGGGAGGGGCAGAGAGAGAGGGAGACACAGAATCGGAAACAGGCTCCAGGCTCTGAGCCATCAGCCCAGAGCCTGACGCGGGGCTCGAACTCATGGACCGCGAGATCGTGACCTGGCTGAAAGCGGACGCTTAACCAACTGCGCCACCCAGGCGCCCCTCAGGGTATGTTCTAAAAGCAGTAATGGTCAAAATATCAGATACATAAAAGCAAAGTAAGAAGGTGAGCTGGAGTAAAACTTGGGGGAGTCCTGAACGCTAAGATATTTGGATTTTAGAGAGAAACATTAAAATTTGGTTATAATCAGCTATCTGCTTAAGAAAGGTATTCTGGGGAGCAGCTGGGTGGCTCAGTCCGTTAAGCGTCCAACTCTTGATTTCGGCTCAGGTCATGATCTCCTAACTTGAGTTGTAAATTTGAGCCCCACATCAGACTCTGTGTGGGTAGCGTGGAGCCTGCTTGGGATTCTCTCTCTCCCTCTCTCTCTCTACCCCTCCCTCATTCATGCTGTCTCGCTCTCAAAATAAATAAATAAAACTCAAAAATTTTTTGAAAAAATATAAGAAAAAAAAAGAAAGATAATTCTGAAGCTTCCCATTTTAGGGATGTTTTCAAAAATGGCCAGTATAATATAAAGACAGGAACAATTCTGTTTCAGTGATGGAAAAAGAGATGGTATAGGCCAGAGCACAAAGCGCAAACAAAACCAGAGGGGGTGGATGTGGGGGCGAGGGCGAAATGAGCAACCTGCAAGTCAGTAAGTGAAAAAGGAAAAGCCTGCTTGCGTAATTAGTGATGATGTCCGTGACTGAACCCACACCCCCATACAGAGAGAGGGCAGTAGAGCTTCAGGCTGTGAGCAGGAGGCCCTGCCAGAACCGCAGCTCCTTAAGCCTGCCCTTGTGAAGTGGAGCACAGAGGGGCCTGTGAACCTCTAAAACAAGGATCAGTGCCTGTTGCCAGGGTGAGTGTGGGAAGGGGGGGGCAGTGCCAAGGAACAAACCTTGACAGGCAACGGATTAGCACATCAGTGAAAAAAAATTTTGAGAGAAATTGTTTGAGACGGCGTCTTCCTACTTCAAACAAGCTGTTTATACTGTAAATCTTGCAAAATCACTGAAGAAAATACAAACTTTTACCCCTTCTTTTAAAATTTTTTTAAAAATTTATTTTTGAGAGAGAGAGAGAGAGAGAGAGAGAGAGAGAGAGAGAGAGAACAAGTGGGGGAGGGGTACACAGAATCTGAAGCAGGCTCCAGGCTCTGAGCTGTCAGCACAGAGCCCGACGTGGGGCTCAAACCCATGAACCATGAGATCATGTCCTGAGCCGAAGTCGGACACCCAACCAACTGAGCCACCCAGGCACCCCAACTTTTACCCCTTCTTGAAACCAAAAGATTTGCCCAAGGACCCAGATAATCTCCAACACAATTTATTTGAAATCCTAATACTGGACCAATACAGATACTTTGTTAGGATGAACAACCAGAAAAGTTAACAAATTTCAAAGTTTACTGGCAAATACACACATACACATAGACTTGAGTAAATAAATGTTGTAAAATGAGTAAATAAATATGATGTTCCTGAAGACTCAACACGACGAAGATGACAATTCACCCAAATTAATCTATAATATGTATACAACCCCAACCAGAATCCTAAAAGGTTTGTGTTAAGCATTTCATCAGAATTTCCTCTACATACTCTCTGAAGCCCAGCACTCCTTCCTCAGGAAAGGAATTATGAGCAAGCCCTACATGTCCTGCTTTGATCTGGTTCCATATATACCACTTGGGAAAAACTCCTTGAAATTTGTGCCATGTAGTTGGTATTTTCCATATCCTCATATTAATGCAAGTTGTTTTCATTACCAATTGTTATGTAACACACAACTCCAAAATTTAGTAACTTAAAGCAATAATCAATTTCTTTGCTTGTGATTTTGTAATTTGGGCAGGGCTCAAAGGGGCACTCATCTCTGCTCTGTATGGCACTAGTAAGGTTGGTTTGACTCAGGCTAGGGGATCCATTTCCAAGATGGCTCCAGGTTGGTGCTGGCAATCATATGTGAGCTCAGCTAGTACTACTAGGTGAAGCCCTTTATCCTTTTCCCCTTGATTCAAGTTTTCTCATAGCATGGCTACTGGGTTTCAGAGGAAGGAAGCAGAAGGCTTATTAATGCCTGGTTTCAGAGGTCCCAGAATGTTTCTTCTCTGCATTCAACTAGGTAATGCAGTTACAAGCCCACATCAGATTCAAGAGGAGACATAAATTCTCCCTCCTGATGGAAGTAGCTGCATGTATGTACAAGAAGGGGCAGAATTATTTGGGGGACATCTTTGGAGACTATCTACTACTCAGGTTGTTCCTCTATTTTATATTCCATTGGTCATTTGGTTAGTTTCCATAAAGGATATCCAAATGGCTAGTGCTTAAGCCACCACCTTTCTTAGAAGTAGTCCCAAATAATTATTAATCTAAATATAACTCATCATGAAGGTAGTATTTCCCAGAAAAGAAGCACATTATTTTTCTAATTTTTTATTGAGGTGTAATTTAGTGAAATATACAGGTCATAGTGTAGAATTCAATGTGTTTTGATACACACATATAGCTGTGTGTGCATACATACATACACATGTGCATAGCTGTGTAACACATACCCATACCAAGATATCTCCCTCACCCAAAAATATTCTGTGCCTTTTTCTTGTCAATGCATGTTTCCAGAGGCAACCACTGTTATTTTTTTAATCTTAAATTTGCCTACTCTAGAATTTCATATAAATGAAATTATATGCATACTCTTGTTTCAGACTTCATTCGGCATAGTTTTTGAGATTCATGTTGTTTTGTATATTAATAATTTGTTCTCTTTAATTATGAGTAGCATTTCATTTAATTAATATACTACAATTTGTACAACTTCATGTGTTGGTGGATATTTAGGTTTCCAGTTTGGGGCTATTTTAAAACTGCTATGAACATTCATTTTCATATACCTAAAATTTTATTTCTCTTGGGTAAATACCTAGAAATGAAATTTCTGGGTCATACAGATGACATATCTTTAATTTTAGTAGAAACTGCCAAGGCTTCTGAAGTGGTTGAGCCAGAATCCCAGTTTCTCCACATCTATGCAAATATTTTGTCAGTCATTAATTTCAGCTATTTTAGAGGTGTCTGATATAATCGTATTGTTGTATTAACTTGCATTTATCCGATGACTAATGATGTTGAGCGTTTTTCCATGTACTTAATGCCCATTCATATACTTTTCCTTGTAATGTGTCTGTTAAAGTATTTTGCTCACTTTTACTTTTATAAATGAATTGTAAGATTTTTAAAAAATATATTATGCTTTTTATTATTTTTTTAAATATTTATTTTTGAGAGGGAGAGAGAGGGCAGGGGAGGGGCAGAGAGAGAGGGAGACACAGAATCCAAAGCAGGCTCCAGGCTCTGAGCTGTCAGCACAGAGCCTGACACGGGGCTCAAACCCATGAACCGTGAGATCATGACCTGAGCTGAAGTCGGACACTTAACCAACTGAGCCACCCAGGCTCCCCAAAAATATATTATGGATATAAATCCCTAATGACATGATCATTACGAATATACTTGTCTATTCATTTTCTTAACCAAGTCTTTTGATGAGAAATTTTTTGTTTTGTTTTTAAAGTTTACTTATTTTGAGAGAGACAGAAATAGAGAGAATCTCAAGTAGGCTCCAGGCTGTCAGCATGGAGCCCAACATGGGGCTAGATCCTGAGAACCCTGAGATCATGACCTGAGTAGAAACCAAAGTCAGACACTCAACCGACTGAGCCACCCAGGTGCCCCTTGATGAGGAGAAATTTAAAATTTTTATTATGTACAACTTATCAATTTTCTTTTATAGTGTTTTCTGGGTTCGAAGAAATACTTGCTTACCCCAAGGTCATGAAGGTATTTCCTGTTCTCTTTTAAAAGCCTTAGTTTTTGCTTTCATTTACATTTAGGTTAATAGTACACTACAAATTACTTTTCAAGGGTAGTATGAGATAAGGCCTGAGATTCAAAATATCATTATTCCAGCACATTTTCCCTTTCCCCATGGAATTATTGTGGAGTATTTTTAAAAAATCACTTGATAGGGGCACCTGGGTGGCTCAGTTGGTTGAGCATCTGACTTCAACTCAGGTCATGATCTCACGGTTTGTAGGTTCGAGCCCTGTGTCAGGCTCTGCACTGACAAACCCAGAGCCTGCTTCAGATTCTCTCTCCCTCGCTCTCTGCCCTTCCCCCACTCATGCTCACGCGCGCTCTCTCTCAAGAATAACCAAACATAAAAAAAAAATCATTTGATCATATTTGTGTGGGTGTATTTCTGGACTGTATTTGTATTTCAATGATCTATGTGTCTTGTTTACAGTACCCATCCATACCCAAGGTCTTAAAAATCATAGAGACTCAGTCCCTCAACTCTGTTCTTTTCCAAAACTGTTTTAGCTATTGTAGGTTCATCACATAGCTTTTACATAAGCTTGAAATTTTTAGTGAAAAGCCTACTGGGATTTTGACTGCACTGAATCTACAGATCAATTTAGAAAGAGCTGACAACAAAACAATATTGAGTATTCCAATCGTGTATATAATATATCCATTTATTTAAATCTCCTTTAATTTCTCTCAGCAATAAGTATCACACATTTAAATCTTAGGTGTTTGTTTATAGTCTGCTGATTAGTGTAACTTATAAATCTGTGTAAAGCCATATGAGGAAATTTCAAGATTGGTATGACATGGTGTTTTTTCTTATACTCTAATAGGAGAGCAAACTATCCTCATTACAGTTTTAAAAATAGAAAAATTTGAATAACATTTGAATTAGAAGAGATGAAATATGTACACATTTAATGACAGCACAAAGATAGAATATAAGAGATATAAAGGAATCACACATGCTACAATACAACAACCAAGGAGAAAGCAAATCTAGCCTTTGATTTCTCTTAAACAATTAAAAATAATAGAAATATGTTGAAGTGAATCTGTCACTTAATATATGAAAAACTGAATTCTAAGAGATATAAGCAATTGGGAAAATAAAAATCTTTTTATGACAACTCCTGCATCCAAATTGGCATTCAGCATGGATAAAATATATTTTTTAAAGATTTTATTTTTAAGTAATCTCTACACAATGTGGGGTTCAAATTTATAACCCCAAGATCAAGAGTCACTGACTCTGCTCTACTGACTGAGTCAGGCAGGTGCCTCTATTTTTTTTAATATTTTCATTTATGAAGATTACTTAACTTCATTAAATGATTTCAGCATTTAATAATCAATATAACCAAGCTTAATCCTTCACCTATGATCTTCTACTTTAATTAAAAATGGCTGGTCAGAATTCCCTTTATATAAACCTTTTATAATGTACTTGAAAATGGTTATTTCTTTTTGCTTACTAAGTACATAATCCCAATTCAAAAGCTTTTTGTCATGTTTTAATTCTTTAATTTTTTTAGACAAAACTATCAAATAAATATACACTAAAATATGATTAAATCAGTCTTTTAAGATACTTCCCTCCCCGTAATTTCAGATGAGAAATTAGACTTCTGATTGAAAAATAAAGTTATTCTTTATTATTTTAGTTTTCATTTTAAAATAAATGCATCAAATAAGAAATCAGTATGTTAGAACATTTATAATCTGAAAATGTTCTTAGCAGTAATTCCTCCATAAAATATAACTGCATATATAAAGCAGTATCAAATCCACATATATACATATATATATTAGATAGTAAAGTATAATGAGAAGATAGCACATCTTTTTATGTCTGGACTATATGAAAATTAATAGTTATAAAATGGGATAGAAAATGGGTTTGCTGCTAACTAGTATGCGACTGACAAACTTCTCTCACATCTTCGTTCTCCTTTTTCTCAAAAACAGGGAGGGAAAAATAATACCTCCATAGAGTTGCAAAGATTAAATTACTGTTTGCAAGGTACTTTGTATAGTTCCTACCTGATAGTAAGTACTAAATTAATGGCAGCTAATATCATCTTATGGCACTAATAACAACAGAAATACAGTTGATCCTTGAACAACACAGGGACTGGAGCACTGACCCCTGCACAGTGGAAAATACAAGTATAATGACTCCCCCAAAAGTTAATAGCCTACAATTGACTGAAAGCCCTACGAATAAAATAGACTATTAACAAATATTTTGTATGTTGTATGTATTGTATATTGTATTCTTACAATAAGCAAGCCAGAGAAAAGAAAAGGTTATTTAGAAAACCATAAGGAAGAAAAATACAGTGTTGTATTTTACAGTATTGTAAAAAATCATGTAAGTGGACCCACACAGCTCAAACTGGTGTTGTTCAAAGTTCAATGGTATATTGCCTCACATGAGCTATTCTGTATGCTATTTAATTCAGTAGACTGACTGAAAGAGAAAAGGAAACTTGAGGGACTCTGCAATATGGCAATTATCCCACAGCTATGTGTCTGTATACTAAAAACCAGCCATAATGTAAAAATGCACAAACAACATCCTGGAGTCTTACACAGTTTTTTCTTTAGCATCCATAGCTCGTTAGAAATTAATGGTTATTTAAGAGAATTAAGTGTCTCAAGAAAAAAATTAATGTCAACTTTGAAGGCTTTAGAATTAAACTGAGGAAGTATTTAACATATCATTTGTGACTGATTTTCAGACGTACTTAGTTATTTAAAATGACCAATTATGGTTAGGTTTAAAATACACAAGTGCAAATAAAAATTCAAATGTGTAACAAAGATCTCTCTTTGGTTCTTATGAAAAGAAAAAAGGACAAAACTAAGTATGTAAAATTATATTACAAATATCAGGAAACTTCAACAATCATCAGAGATTATATAGAAAACTAGCAAACTCTTTCCCACACACATTTAATTAATCTGAAATAGAACACATGTGAACATATTACATACATGATTTTCTTTGGCTACTAAAGATCACAAAACAATTCGCCACAAAATATATTTTGTGCAAAATAAAGAGACTGTATTTTAAGAGAGAAAAAAAGGAAAGATGAATCATTAACAGGGTACCCATTGTTAGGCAATGAGTTTGTTTCCCCCAACACCTATCCCACTGCCAGCAATGGGTGTGGAGACAACTGGTGACATAAAAATTAACTTGTTATATTACTTTAAAATAGATAATGCCAGATTGTTTCAGTATTATGAAAAGGCAAACATTCACTCTTGACCACTTACTAAGGACTTGCCCCAGAAATTTCTATTATCTTCTTAATAGTAATCTGGACAGAGGGAGGAGGACGGTGCGGATGGAAAACTTTGAGACAGAGAGAGAGAGAGAGAGAGAGAGAGAGAGAGAGAGAGAGAAAGAGAGAAAACATACAATAGAAATACATATAACATTATGCATATAGTACAAATAATGAAAAACGACTTTGACACATTTTCCAAAAAAAGTTATTTTTACATATCTTGAAATCCTGTAAAAACCAGGTAGATAGCAAGGGTTAAAAACAAAGTCACTGATGAATGATAATCACTTTTTAACAGAGTTCATGCAGTTATCTTAATTGGAAAGCTCCTGTCCCAAGTCACAAAATTTATGCTGTCACATGATTACGTATGAAAATCGTTTCTTAAAAGAAATTATTCTGTATTTGGTGTTAACAGAGCTCTTGAGAAAGTGCTATACAAACTGAAGTTTATAGAAATTTTTAAGTGATAATCTTAAAATACCATACAAAACGTGTAAACGAAAAGATGCTTTAGAGTTGCAGGGCATTATAAAATCCATAATGCAGATTAAGACCAAAGATCATTTCTTCTGCATTTAAAAGCATTATTAGCACAATCTTAAAAGTTCAAAATTGCGTTTCAGTCAGCAGCGAAAGGTATTGGAAGTACCACCGCACTTCACAGGACCTAAGGGATAACTGCAGGTGCGCTGTGACCTGGCCAGCACAAGCTCACCGCACTTATGGATGGACGTAGGAGAGAGATTTTGCAACAGGTCTCACCTGGGAGATATTCTAGCATTAAAACGTTTATACTCGACTTGTATCTACTCTGTCAGAGAGGGAAACTGCTTTTAAAAGACATTATAAACAATATAAATTCTGATAGTAAAGCACTGTAAAAATTAGGTATGATATATTTGGCACAAAGCACTTTTAAAATCTGAGCTCATTTTGCAAAATATATGTCTGGAATTTCTTATTTGAAAATAAAAACTTTTAACATACACACAATATGTAAATGATTTTATGAATGAATTAGATTCTATGTTTCCTTAAATACTGAACATACCGTCAGTATATTTCAGTACCAGATATCTGCATGCATACCTCCACATTCTAAATTATACAGATATTGCACAAGTAACATTGCCAAAATACACACCAATGCAGTCTGGCAAGATTTAGAGCTTACCTTTCAATATTATTTTTTTGTAAGTATTCAGATTCAGTACTACTTTCCAAAAAGCTGTATGACCAACTTCAGAAAAAGAACGCTTGCTATCTTTCCTTGACCAATAATATTAAAATCTGCATTTCAGTTATGTTTTCCAGCGTTTCAAATTCAGCAAAACCTGTTTTTTGACACTTCTTATGGACCATTCCTTCAAAAACAGGATAAGCTTCGTCTGATGCAAAAAAATTAAAACGAGTCCACAAGGCAGGAATATTTCCACCAAAGATGTCACTCCATCTGAAAAGCACTGCAGAACAGTATTTAAGTCTGTCAACTTTCAGAGAGCCATTAGGTGCAAAGTCTGCTAAAAAAAAAAAACTTGTAACATACCACGACAGCTGGATGTGTTTCTTACGGAATTGCACGATACAATTCAACTTTTTTCCTCCCTAAAACATTTTAGGGTATGCTACAGCTGCTAAAAGGATTTCTGTTTTTCTTGGTCCTCTGTTTGTTGGGTCTAAGATTGATGACATCTCCACCATTAAGGGTACTTGAATTTTGACCTGAGTGACTTCCACCAGATGTATTAAAGACACCTGTATAAATTGAGAGAAAGCACAGAGAATGGCACTGATGCAGCTCAGGGTTACCAAATGTAAACTGTGCATCCAGTTTCTTAGTAAGTCCATAATATGTTCAGTATTTATAATTTTAAGCTTTTGTTTTCATTTCATTTATTATTTTTTTAAACTCTACGATCTTTTTTTAAGTAAACATGGGGCTTGAACTCACAATCCTGAGATCAAGAGTCACCTGCTCTACCAACTAAGCCATCCAATTTATTTTTAATAGCCAATATACATCATTCAAAGTTCAAAGGATACAAAAAAAGGATTACAATGAAGTCTCCCTTTCACATCACCAGATTACCTTCCCTAATGCATGCATGTTTTATCACTTTTCCTATGTATCCTTCCAAAAATATTTTATGCATATGTAAGCAAAAATGCACATATATATTCTTCTTTCCTTCCTTGACTACCAAAATAGTGATGAACTATATACACTGCTCTGCATCTTTTCACTAACAATCCATTTCTGAAATTTGGGACCAGTAAATATGATAATTTTAATAAATTCACTTATTATCTTTTACATTGTATAATTTCCTCAAGAATACCAGATCTGTAGGTGACGACAGTATTTGTGAGATTTTATGTTAATAAAAACACCGCATATATAAAAGCAGGTAGTAATGTAAAATTTTCCTATTTGGCTAAAACAACAACAAAATGGTCTATAGATAATTAAAGTGATGAGTAGATAAAAGGATGAAATAAAAGAAAATGTTTAACTATTAGAGTTTCCATTTTGAACTGTGCTGGTCTTAAAATGTAATCTCCAATTTCTAAACTACTTAGTGGGGGGCGGGGGGAGTTGGATAGAATACAGATATGAAGTCCTTAAGAGACTACACAGAAACTTAAGAAACAAGGGCGCCTGGGGCACCTAGATGGCTCAGTCAGCAGAGCATCCGACTTCAGGTCAGGTCATGATCTTGCAGTTCATGAGTTCGAGCCCCTCATCAGGCTTGCTGCTCTCAGTGCATAGCCTGCTTCAGATCTTCTGTCCCCTGCGCTCTCTGTCCCTCTACAACTTGTGATCTCTCTCTCAAAAATAAATAAAACATTTAAAACAAAACAAAACAGGGCGCCTGGGTGGCTCAGTCGGTTAAGCGTCTGACTTCGGCTCAGGTCATGATCTCACAGTTCGTGGGTTCAAGCCCCACGTCAGGCTCTGTGCTGACAGCTCAGAGCCTGGAACCTATTTCAGATTCTGTGTCTCCCTCTCTCTCTGCCCCTTCCCTGTTCACGCTCTGTCTCTGTCTCAAGAATAAATAAACATTAAAAAAAAATTTAAAGAAAACAAAACAAAACAGGGGCGCCTGGGTGACTCATTCAGTTAAGCGTCCAACTCTTGATTTGGGCTCAGGTCATGGTCTCGCAGTTTTTGAGATCAAGCCCCAAGTTGGGCTCTGTGCTGAGAGCCCCTCCCCTGCTCACACTCACATGCATGTGCACTCTCTCTCTCTCTCTCTCTCAAATTAAATAAACATTAAAAAAAAAAAAGGCCTTAGAAACAGAAAATTTGGTTCTCAACTTCTTGGAAGCCAAAGCAACAAGCAAGAAGACATGGTTAGTCAGTTATTGTTACAGAGCAGACAATACACTTGTTCTTCAGGAAATGCTAAACTTTGCAGGCATTTAGCATTAAAAATAAAATCAGTAAAGTGTATGGAGACAGTACAAGTACAGAACATGTGTTAAGAGTTTCTTTATTTATAGAACAGACCATTTTAAAAAGTCTTTATCTCTGTTCTCCTAAATTATAAAATGAATTTAGAAAATTCAATAGTTAAAAAAAAATCTTTTAACTCAATATACCTTTTAATATGAGACCTGATACTAAGTTTAAAAATTGCACCTGAGGGGTGCACCTGAGTGGCTCAGTTGGTTAAGTGTCTGACTTCGGCTCAGGTCATGATCTGGCAGTTTGTGAGTTCGAGCCCCGCATTGGGCTCTGTGCTGACAGCTTGGAGCCTGGAGCCTGCTTCAGATTCTATGTCTCCCTCTCTCTCTGCCCCTCCCCCACTTGCAGTCTGTATCTCTCTCTCTCTCAAAAATAAACATTAAAAAAAATTTTTTTAATTGCTTATCTAATACTTCCTAATCACATTTTTTTAAAGAAAGGAATATATTGTATTAAAAAATAGTAAATATGGGGCACCTGGGTGGCTCAATCAGTTAGGAGTCTGACTGGGGCTGTGCTCATGTCATGATCTCTCAGCTCATGAGTTCAAACCCAGTATCCAGCTCTGTGCTGACAGCTCAGAGACCCTGGAGCCTGCTTTGGATTCTGTCTCCCCCTCTCTCTGCCCCTCCCCCACTCATACTCTGTCTCTCTCTCTCAAAAATAAACACTAAAAAAATTTTTTTTAATTAAAAAAATAGTAAATATGATAATAACGAATGAAAATAAATTTACCAGATAAACATGGGACTAAAACTTTCTGAGTACTTACCAATTTTGTTACTACTTGAATGCATTAATTCTGGATCCTCAGCTATTTGCTGTTTGAGTTTCTGAAGATATTTTTCAGCCAAATATTTAAATACTAAAATAAAAACAAAAACAATAATCTTACCAGGTCAATATAATTTCTGCATGTAAAATCTATTATTTTATATCACTCACTATAATACTTTATACTACATTTATTTTATTTTTGAAACATTTATATTCTTTTATTAATCCTTACTAAACACATTTAAAATTACATTAAAGTATACAATCTGGGGGGGGCACAGGTGGCTCAGTTGGTTAAGCGACCGACTCTTGCTTTACTTATTTTGAGAGAGAAAGGGGGAGAGAAAACGAGTGAGGGAGGGGCATTGAGAGAGGGAGAGAGAGAGAGAATCCCAAACAGGTTCCACGCTGTCAGCACAGAGCCCAATGCAGGGCCCAAACTCACCAACTGCAAGATCATGACCCAAGTCGAAATCAAGGATCAGACGCTTAACCCACTCAGCCACCCGGGTGCCCCAAGCGTCCAACTCTTGATTTCAGCTCAGTTCATGATTTCATGGTCATGAGATGAATGAAGCCTCATGTTGGGATTCTCTCTCTCCTCTCTCTTTGCCCCTCCCCTGCTTGCAGGTATGCTATCTCTCTCTCAAAATAAATAAATAAACATTAAAAAAAGTATACAATCTAGTTCAAAAATTTCAACTTTTAAAAATTATTTGAACAATACCTAAGAAAATGGTAATACTAATATATATATGGCATTTTATTGGTAAAGAAATGAAATACTTGTAGTCATTAGTTTTGGGACTTGAATAGGGATCAGCTTCAGCAGCACTACACTAACTCAGTCTTGAAAAGATGTCCCCTTTCTTTAGATGAAAAAAACAATAATCAACGATGCAACAATCAAATTGCAATCTAATAAAGTAAGTAGCAATTCTGGAATGAGAAAAATAACAGTCATCTTTCTCTAATCTCACTTTCTTAAACTGGGAAATAGTATTAAACAAATTAAGGTCAGAGGTGCCTGGCTGGCTCTGTCGGTAGAGCACAAGCCTCTTGATCTTAGAGTCATGAGTTCGAGCCCCGCATTGGGCGTAGAAGTTACTTAAAAAACAAAACACCACATCAAATTAAGGCCATTACAACTACCTAATGGAATATGCACTATTGTGGAGTTCTCAATTCAATAACTTTAAGAGGTATGCATGAAAAACGCATACATGTATACATACATATACGGAGTTACATATTTATTTTTTTTAATTTTTTTAGAGTTTATTTATTTTGAGAGAGACAGAGACAGCATGAGCAGGGGAGGGGCAGGGAGAGAGGGAGAGAGGGAGAGAGGGAGAGAGGGAGAGGGGGAGAGAGAGAG